AACAATATTTTGAGATATCTAAGTAAGTCTAATAGAATAAAAAGATTGTACTTTTATACTGATAACAAAGTTACAGGTACTAATACTAATGTGGTTTTTTTGCCAAATTCATAAAGAATCATTAAGTTTAAATAAATTTTAATTAGAAATAAAGATGTAATTTTCCCTGTTCAAGTTCATGAATCCTTACACCCAGTTTAATTGTTGTTGTTTTCACCATGCTAGGGATTGAAAGCAGGGCCTCGTTCATTGATCAAGCACTCTACTACTAAACTACATCTTTACAGGGAGAAAGGAAGGAAAAAGGGAAATACTGGGGAGTAATATTGGAAAATTATATTGTTATGTGGAGTAATATTGGTTAATTATATTTTTATATTATGTGCATGTACAAATGTGTAACATTGAAGCCCACCATTATGTGAAACTATAATGCACCAATTAAAAAATGGAAAACAAAACTATACCCCAGGCCTAGAATAAGTTTTAAGAGAAACAGAAGCACTTTCTCACTAATGTAGCTCGTTCATAATAATATAACAAGACTAAGTTCAAATTTCAAATTGTCCTATTTTATATGTATATATAAAGTTTATATGTTTATATATTTTATATACTATATAAAGTTTATAAAACACAGCACATTCCTGGCACACAAAACCACTCCAATACTCATTACAAGTATCCCTCTCAGTTTTAAATTAGTGGATGAAATAAGGCAGAACAAGCTTCAAAAGAGACCCATGGTAAAATTATTTAATACAAAGACATATCTACAGAAACACAGAAAGCAAAATGCTGGAGGCACCAAACGAAAGTCTGAGAAGGTGCTGCATGGGCTGTGGACTGCTGCTCACCATTCCCATTGTGTGGCAGCACTCACACTGTTACAGCCTCCTGATGGAACATGCAAGTGTGACCTGTTATTTTTAGCTTGTAGCACCTTTTGCAAGAGGTTTTAAAAAATCATAGTAAAAATAGGTCTCATTTTAATTTAGCCTAATAAATATGCTATAGCTAATGTGAATATAACATCCAACCCTGAAAAGAAAAAAAGAACAGAATCAGAGTTAACTGTGTATACACATGTATGAGTCTTTCAAATATGAGTAAAGATACATGTCTCACTTTATACCACAGATGGATAACATCATAAAAGAAACACAGGTATTGGTCTAGGATGATTTTTAATTTGTTTGCTCACTGGAGTGCCTCCTGTGGACTCCACATGTGTCTTGGTTCCTCACAGCATAATAGCATCAGAGTAGCTGGACTTCTTACATGGTAGGTAAGGGGGTCCAAATGTAAATATTCCAAGACACAAGGCAGAAGTGGCATCACTTTTATTATCCAGCTTCAGAAATCACATATCATCCTATCCATCTTGCTCTATGGGTTGAAATGATCAAAGCCCAAATGGATTTAAACAAATTAGGGGAAGTAGGGTTCACTTTTTGATGGAGAAGAAGCAAGATGATATTGTAGAACAGTATGCAGGTAAGACTTCTTACGGGTACCTTTAGAAAGTACAATCTTCCACAATCCCTTTGAAGTTAGGCATAGCTATGTGACATGCTCTGATCAGAAAAAAATGTAAATAATATAATTTAATTGATGATGATTGATTCCCCTACTCATTCCTTCATAGCAAATACAAAAGCAAGTGTTAGTATGGCGAAGTCATAAGATCAAAGTTACATGGAGCACAGCTATGTTAATGGGTCATCTGAGCCCACAAGAGATTCTGTATGGTTAATAAATATTTGTTTTGTATTAAGCCACTACAATTTTGAGTTGCTTGCTCTTGCAGCAACATGCTACACTATCATATAACTATTGCCTGCTAATATAGTCTACAGCCCAAGTAATAGGAGAAAGAGTGGGAAATCTACACAGCCTCCACAGACTAGAACAGGATGATTATTTACAAAGACAAACATCCACTAGAGCAGAGTCAAGGATTCATCTATACACACATATATACTTTTTTGGATTAACCACTTAAAACAAACTTGCAGTAAGCATAACCCTTTGCCATTAAATATGTTCTTCTCCAACTTTCTAAAGTCAAGGATTCCTCAAAAATATTATTACACCCAAGAAATTTAATAGTGGTGCAATAAAATAAAGTCAACATTCAATTTCCTGTTTCAAAAGTCTTTTCTATTTGTTTTGTTTTTTCTTATGATCTGGGATCCAGCCATGGGCCATAACATTTTATTGTCATGTTTTTTTGGCCTTCTTCAGTTAAGAATAATATCATCCCCAACTTTTGTTTTGAAGATAAAACAAAAGCCATTAATATTTGTGAAGAGTCTGGGTCCGTTGTCTGCAGAATGTGCCATTAATTGAGTTTGTCTGATTATTTCCTATAATTATACTCAAGCTATAAACATCTTTGGCAAGAATTCTATATAATTTATACTAATAGAATTTTTACCTGCCACAAAACATTCCAGAGTGTTCTACTATGTTCTCTTCTCTTAAGATGCCCTCATCTTAAGCCATAAGAGGGTCTTATATCAGGAGCAGAAAACTCATAAACTGACAAGAAACAAGATTTCTGATGATCTGTTAGATCAAAGTAGCCATATTGTTTTGAAATGCAGAGCTTCAGACAATAAAGTGAGACAAAAATTTTTATCCTCTTTTTTATTTTGGTGCAATATAGTACATATAACTATAATATGTAGCAAGGGGTTTTAATAGTGATAGACGTGTTTGTGTGTTTGTATGTGTGTGTCCTGTGTGTATATGTGTGTGTGCTGGACACACACACACACACACACACACACACACATACACACACATGCTAGGCATATGCTCTTATCACTGAACTACTTCCCCAGCCCTAATTTTCATCCTCTTTAAGCCACTGGTATTTCCATTACTTTTAGCCAAACCTAATAAAACAGATGATGTAAGGAAAACTAAGTGGGAGATCTAATATAAGCAAATCCTAAAGTTATAGGTACAGGAACCTATAAATTAGCTTATTTTTAAACCAGTTTGAGTTTGAGGCTTATTATTGTAACAGTTGTTACATGTCTTAAAAACATCTTTTCTGATGCAGAATTTATCAAATGTAGGAAAGTGTGTAAGAACACGAAGAAACATATCAAAAATTAAATCCAAATATTAATAAATATTAATAGTGTAAAGACAACATTTGTATAATAAGTGAAAAAAATCCAAGCAAGAAAAATTCAGGATCAATTTTTAAGAAAATAACAATTATCAATCAGCTCACTAGTCAAAATATGTTTATGTATCATCTATATTCTTCTATGTAAAATAACTGAAATACATGAGATTCTGTGTATAGCTAAAAATAAATTTATTATTAAACTATATCAAATTCCATAAGATAGGGAAAGTGGCATTATTACTTTTTGTAGGTGTAGTAGGACATTGACAGTGTCAGAAGAAAATTTTGAGAAAGGAAAAAAACATAAAAAAGATCAACCCAGAGATATTATGGGAGAGTTAAAAGAAACCAATAGTCCTGGACATTGTCTCTGAAATATTCTTGACAGGTCATCCTATACTTTTGGTGATTTAAGGAACTAACTCTAAAATAACAAATTAATTAGTTATTTCCCATTGGAAAGTCAAATATACTTGGAGACTCAGGTCCTCAGAGACCTTCCGGAGACACCAAACCTACGAGTATGTTTCTCATGAGGATCTGCTATGTAAAGAGAGGATAAAATAAGCAAGTCATCAAATGCTACCTGCCTTTAGCCTAGTTATTTCTCCAAACAGAGAAACACTATTCCAACAATATCCTGGAAAACACTGAACAACGTGGAATAAACCAGAGATTCTCAACTGCAAAAGGATATTAATGTGTGCACTTGTATTTCTAATATGAATTCTTAAATATGGTTATTTTCACAGAATTTTGATTTATGTATCTATTTGTCTGTATCTTTCCGTGTTAATATTTTTATGTTAAATGAGTTTTGACTTCCATTGTTATCTGTAATGAAGTTTGTATTTTTATACAGTGTGTGTATTTGACTTTAAATGAATCTAGCATCGGAGGATGTTAGGTTATTCTCCTGTGCTTATATTTAGAAACACAATGTGTTAGTGTATGCATATGTAGAGTTTATGTGAGTGGCCTGGGGATTTGTATATGTGTTATGATATAAAGGGATGAAGTTTGAGAGGCTGTAAGATGCAGAAATAAGCAACTAAGAAAGGTCTTGTTATCTCCTTCCAGAGCATTTTTTTAAAAAAAAAAACTAGAAAGATCCTCTGGAAAACTGAACTACTCAACTGCCTTCAGGACCTTAAAAGAAATGATCTACCCAATCCCTTCTCTCCCCACTGAAAACCATGAAGTTCATCTCATGGTGAAATGATAGAAAAGGAAGAGGCTGAGGGCATCTGGTAACTGGAATAATAGCTGGAAAGGGACAGGAAATAGAGAGGAAGAGGTGAACATTAGGCCAGAGAAAAGCCAAGTAGAGAGAAAAGAAAAACATGTGAAAAAAGGAAAAGAAACAGAAAAAAGTCAGGAGGGAGAGGAACAGGAAAGGAAATCCTCTTTACTTGGAATGGGATTTTTTTCATGTCCTGAACACAGAACAAAGTCTGGCTTTGAGCAGAAAAACATCTGCTGGGAGGGAAAATTCCATCCCCAGCCCTGCAGCAAGGCTGGGAAATAGAGAAAAGGGGGTTAGAATGATCCAACACTTCACTGAGGAGAAACCAAACCAAATTCAATGCTTCATCTGAAGGTAGGCACCATCAGGAAGAGATCAAGACAGCTGGTCTCAGAGAGACAAATATTTGCCCAGGGTTCCAAGAGTGGGCCAGGGTGGGGGCAGTTGGGCTGCCTCATTTCAAAGACACTGAAAGCCTAAAAGAAAGGGAGTTCCAGGGCTTTGATCCAATGCAGAGAGAGGTCATTTTTGACCTCGTCACAATTCCACTGTGGGGACTCTTCTTTGCTTTGTCTTTTTCTTCCCGTCAAAAGGGATGTGAGCAGGATGAGCACGAACGCTTCTGTGGTGTTAACTGAATTCGTTCTTGTAGGCTTCTCCCGCCTGGCCCACGTCCAGGGCTTGCTCTTCTCTCTCTTTCTCACGGTCTACCTGCTCACCGTCACAGGCAACCTCCTCATTGTGGTGCTGGTCTCAGCGGACCCTGCACTCCAGTCCCCCATGTACTTCTTCCTCTGAATCCTCTCGGCCCTGGAGATTGGGTACAGGTCTTTCACGGTGCCCCTGCTGCTTTACCACCTCCTCACTGGTCAGCGCCACATCCCCCGCTGGGGCTGTGCCCTCCAGATGTTCTTTTTCCTCTTTTTTGGTGCCACCGAGTGTTGCCTCCTGGCGGCCATGGCCTATGACCGCTATGCAGCCATCTGTGAGCCCCTCCGCTACCCGCTGCTGCTGAGCCGCTGGGTGTGTCTGCAGTTCGCAGGCTCAGCTTGGGCCTGCGGAGCCATGGTGGGGCTGGGCCACACCTCCTTCATCTTCTCCTTGCCCTTCTGTGGCCCCAACGCCATCCTTCACTTCTTTTGTGAGATCCAGCCTGTCCTGCAGCTGGTGTGTGGAGACACCTCACTCAATGAATTGCAGATTATCCTGGCTGCTGCCCTCATCATCCTCTGCCCCTTTGGTCTCATCTTGAGCTCCTATGGGGGTATCTTGGCTACTATCTTCCGGATCCCATCTGCAGCTGGCCGCCACAAGGCCTTCTCCACTTGTTCCTCCCACCTGATCGTGGTCTCCCTCTTCTACGGCACTGCCATCTTTATCTATATTCGCCCTAAGGCCAGCTATGATCCAGCCACTGACCCTCTGCTGTCTCTCTTCTATGCTGTGATCACCCCTATCCTCAACCCTATCATCTATAGCCTCAGGAACAGTGATGTCAAGGCTGCCCTAAAGAGAACCATCCAGAAAATGGGGCCTGCAGAGGTTTGACAAGGAGAACCACAATGATGACTGCAGCTAGGACCCCTAGTCAATCTCAAAACACTGAGGAGCAAAGGAAGGGGTAGAGCAGAGGAGGCATGGGTCTCACTTAGGGGAGGACCACCCTGACAAGAAGACAGACTTAGCCTTGAATAACTACTTGGAGTCAAGCCCCTGAAGATCCCCTTGATACTCACATAATCTAAACAAACATGAAATTCAAGAGAGAAGATCAACTTTACAAGCAGAACAATCTAACAACTAAGAGAAAAGTTACAACCCCACCAGACTGCCAAGGTAATAAAATTTTCAGCAATGATCCTTAAAGTCATTTAATACTTTTATATTCTAGGGAAGGCATTTGTTTCCTGGGTAGTACTCCTGGCTAATATGGTAGCAATATGTAATTATCCCTAATAAAGTCTATCACCAGGCAAAAAACAAATCTCTTAAAAAATTTTATTGATGCATTATAATTATATATATTAGCAAACTCTCCTGTCACATATTTAGACATGTACACAGTATGATTTGGTCTATTTCATTCATCAGTACTTTCGAATTGCCTCCTTTCCTCCCTTCCCAAGTCCCCTTCCTCTACTCTTTTGAACTCATCTATCTTCATGAGATTCCACCAACCCCTTTCCTTTTTCTTTTCCTTTTTTCTCTCTAGCTTACACATCTGAGAGAAAGCACTGAGACTGGCGTATTTCACTTAACATTACATTCTCAGGTTCCATTCATTTTCTTTGCAGAAGACATAATTTTGTTCCTTATGACTGAGTAGAATTCCATTGTGACTATATACCACATTTTCTTTATCATTCACCCACTGACAAACACCTAGACTGGTTCCATATTTTGGTTATTGTGTACTTTGCTGCTATAAACATAGATAAGCATGTATCACTATAGTATGCTGATTTTAATTCTTTTAGATAAATACTGTAGAGTGGTGTAGCTGGGTCCTAGTCAATGTTCCTAGACAAAAAGCAAATCTCCTAAGATGTGAAGAAGGGCCAGAAAAAAATCAATGAAGGTAAGTTCTTATGAAAATCAGCACGACACAGTGGTTAAGAGAATAGATTCTGATGTCAGATAGATTTGAATTCAATTTCTTCCAACAATCAAATGATGCAATCTGTTTGAGCCTTAATCTCCTTATGCATAAAATTGAAATAAAAATGGAGTCTATTTCTTTGTGGTTTGTGAGAATTTATAGACTTGTAAGCACCAATATTAGTATCTGGCACAAACTAGTATCTCAAAAACTGTCTCAACAATGAGTCAGACAGATCAGCACAAAGGATAACATCCAGCTCATATTTCATTCCTTTGCTGGGGAAAGAAGGGTATTCTTTATGTCAGTGGCACTGGGACCAATGAGACCCAAAGGAAGGTACAGAAAGAAGCTCCATACAACAAGACTATAGGAAACTGCCACACAGCACAAAGGTAAGCTAGAAACAACCAGGATAATGAAGAGCAAATATAACAGCAATGAAATGCTCAGAAGTCAGCGACCCTCAGAACAAATAAATAAGCTGAACTAGTTAATTAAAAAAAATGCCTTCAAACTTGGAATGGAACCACCATTTGACTCAGCTCTCCCACTCCTTGGTCTATACCCAAAAAAACTTAAAATCAGCCCACTACAGTGATGCAGATTGCATGAATGGTGTGACTCTACATCATGTACAACCAAAGAAATGAAAAGTTGTGCTCCATTTGTGTAAAAAGATGAAATTAAATTTTAAAAATGTAAAAAGTGAAAAAATACCCTCAAGATGCAAGAATTCATTCATAATTTAAAGTATAACCCACATACTTTTCCGTATACCCAACACCTTTATTTTGTGCCATTGCTCTGTTTGACACTGTGGTGAATACCAATTAAATACAGGGGATTATTTTGCCCAGAAAGTCTTTTCTGATTGGAGAGAACACATTTATTCCTGTGAAAACTGTCAGAGAGCCACAAAAAGTAGAAATGCTGTACTCAAAACATTAAAGAGAAGGGACATAAATGGTTACTCTTCCCTTCCAAGAGAGTAAACAGGGCCTTCTCTACACTTATTTTTATCAGAGTAAAACCTCAACATTATTGCTCTTTAGTATTTATCAAAACTCCCATAGATATAAATGGCATTTAGGAAGAGTTGCCTAAAGGATTGCTAAAACAATAAGCTTTTCCTCTAATCACTGAAAATCTAATCTCCAGGCTGAAGCAGACCATGGGAGTGCTGTATATTTAAAATGCATTGTTTTCTCCTCCTAATTATCTCCAAGTACCCACCCTTGGTAGAAATGTTCTTGTTCACAGGTGATTTGGCATTCTGCCACTGATTTGCATTGGTTGCCATTAGGGAAGCTTACAAGGAGCAACACTATGAAATTCTCAAGAGGAAAAGTTTATCCCACATCTCCACGGTAGAAATACCTGTACTTTTTCGGTCATATAAGCAATAACTTTTTTTCTTACTATTTTATGGAGGCATCATCAATATGTATAAATTGCACATACTTAAATGTAAATTTTGTGTTGACTGTGTGTGCACTATGAAATCATCAAGCAATTGTGAAAGAACATACCAGCCTCCCCAAAGCTTTTCTCATGGCCTTACTTCCACACTAACCGGCATTCCTCATTCCCAACAAACTTTGATCTGATTTTCATCACAATAGTCTGCCTTTTCTAGAGTTTTATAAAGGAATCTTTCAGTATATGTGTTACTGGAGACTGAAATGAGAACCTCACACATGTTAGACAAAGACTCCAATGCTGAACTACATCCTCAGCCCTTTCATTTTTTTTTTAAGAAGAAGAAAAAGTTTATTTTGGGCTCATGGTTTCAGAGGTTCAGTTAGCCCTTTCATTTTGAGACAGGGTCTTGCTAAATTGCTGAGGCTGGCCTTGAACTTGCTATCCTCCTGCTGCAGCCTCCTGAGTAGCTGGGATTATAGATGCATTCTGCTGCACCCAGCAGTCTGACTTCTTTCACTCAATATAATTTTTTGATATTCATCCATGATGTGGTGTACAGCAGCTCATTTCGTTTCATTTCTAAGTGATATCTTGTTGGAATATTCCACAATTTGTCCATTCACCTGTTAATAGAAATTCAGATTGTTTCCAGTTTTTTTTATTCTTACATATAAAGCTTCTATGACATTTGTGTACAAGTTCTGTATGCTTTCATTGCTCAAATGAATATACAGAAGTGGATGGCTGCATGCATCCATCCAGGAGGTATATGCCTAACCTTTAAAAAGAAAATAATCACTTGTACCTCTTTGTGTGACAGCTACTAAGTTTATACCAGAATTTGCAACTTGTGTCCCAGAAATGTGCAGAATTCCTCAAACTACACTTTGAACTACTTACCTGGTTTCTGGCTCCATATTATTTTGTCTATTCTTTTTTCTCTCTCTACTCTCCCTCATTCTTTTTGGTACACATTTATGTAAATCACATTAAAGTCTTTCTGGGACATGGCTTAGATCCAGCAGGCAAAAGAAAAAAACAATGTAGGGGTTATTGTTGAATGGAGCAAGCCCTGGGTGAAGACTAAAGACCTGGATTGCAAGCTCCACTGTTACTAAAATCTTATGTGACCTAGAAGTAAATGTCAATCATTGCCTTCTGGTTTTCAGCAACATCATAAACAGAAGGGCTGAATTAAATGAGCTGTGTTGGGTTACAGCTCCACTGTTTTATGTTTACTTCCCCAAGAATCCTCTGCTTTTCATACCTGATTCTGTCACTGAGAACCAAAAAGAAGATTGTGATGAATGCTCTTCTACTATCCATACCAAGAGGTCTTGAACTAAATTAATCCTAATATGTATATTCACTTGGTGCTTATGGCAAACTGCATTAGCAAGTGTCTAAATTAATAACTCTGACCCCAGCTCTAAAAGTGAAGCAGACAATTTTCTGTTTCTTTTGTTTACAGAGATTTCAGTAAAGAGCCCATGTGTACATGCTCATCTGTAAAGACAAAGATACAGACAGGAGCCACTTATTAGAGGGATTTTTGGGTGACCAAGGTCCTACTCCACACCAAAGTTGAGAGGGATCAAATAACATCTGTTACAAATATCCAGTGTGCTTTTTGCACCATCTCTCTGGTAAATGTTCATCGTATTTATGAGCTACATTGAGCAGCCAGCATCTAATCTAGAAAATGCAGTATCTCGGATAGGACCATCAGCTCAGGGCCTATATAATTTTTTGAGATTCATCCATGCTGTGGTATATAACAGCTCATTCCTTTTCATTTCTAAGTGATATCTTTTTGGAATATACCACAATTTCTTTATTCACCTATTAATGGAGAATAGGTAAAAGAGGGGAAAGGGCTTATTAGCAGAATAGTGTTAGAATGCAGTCTCCTAAGGATATGGTGGATTTGTAAATCAGGCACATGTACCAGAAACATTAACATAGCAGCCTGACTAGGTTCCTAAATTCCACTCATGAAAACTCTAAAAGATTCTCTCTTTGCATCATTTTTTGTTCTATTGCTTGATTTTTACTTTAGGAACTTATGAAAAGGTGTGTTAACTTAGCCATTTATCATTTACATCTCAGTGGGAGAGGTCTAGAGACAAAGCATCACAAGACCTGGACCCCAGACTGGCAGGGAGGGGAATGGTGAGATACATGCCAAAGTCAAAAGAGTCTCAAAAGATGTGAAGGTAGTTAAGTCTGACTCTTCCCTGCCCCTGTAAACAATATAACTCCTTGTGGGTGGGTGGGACCTCATCTCTTCTTATGATTTCCTAAGGCTTCTATGAGTTTTCCCTGGGCAATTTTACAGATTAGACAATTTTATAGATCGCCACCTATGGTTAGGGAGCATGTGAGATACACCACTCTAGCTCTCCAAAACAGTTTGCATATTACAACATTATGATCATCTAGAATGGGGTGGGAACCATGGTGGTGGAGCTTGGTCTCAACTATTAACCTGTCATTATACTCTGCCTGTGGTCAACAAAAGTGATCTCTGACCAGGAGCAACAGCATCACCAGGGACTTAGAGATGCTCCTCGGGTGCTACCTCAGACCTGCTGAATCAGAAATTCTGTGGGTAAGATCTACTTTTAAAAAAAAATCTCAAAACTGCCTTAGGTCTTAACTCCAGGAAACATTGCCACAATGCTTGCCAGTACTATACAGCATGCAGTTTTTAAGTTTGGCCACATGGTGGCACCAAAACTACAATAATCCTGACATTTAGCAGTAAGGACCAGTGTTTTTAGTGTGGTGGGGCCTCAGATCAGAAATTGGTTTCTCAAAGTTCAGAAATAGAAAGCCAACCTAAAAGTTTAGTAAACAATAGCTTTACACCCATCCCAAGACAGCACAGGAAAGTGTGACTGGTTCGAACAACTAATGGCCTCCTGCAACAACAAGCTTAATTAATGACTTTCTACTTCCAGTGGCAAAACAGCTCTGGCCTCACCCTCCAGGAGGTGGAGCCAGTGAAATATGGGAATACCTTCTCTTCTAGAAAGTCCAATTCTCCAGGTGAGAGACTGAGAGAAAGATGATGTTTCCACCTTCACTTTATCACTCCTGAGAACCTCCTCATGAGAAACATCAAGTGCAGAAAGGAAGCTGAGGCCATTACAGCCCCCACCACCATCACCCTTCCTTGTTTGTCTTCTACCCTGAGCCCCCAAGAAAGATAAGAAGTGCATTTTGCTTTGCTTTATTTTTATTTCTAAACACCCAGACCCCCTACCATCTCCCATTAGAAAAATCTAATCAGGTAGTTCTTCAGTGAGGGAAGGGCAGAGGGCAAATATAATGAATATTCCATTCCCCTAGATGCCTTAAGTTCAGAATGCCCCAACGTAGTAAGTGAAAGTTGAAGATTTAGGAAGAGAGAAGAGAGAGCAAAGTGATGAACTGATGCAAATGAGAATCCCTGAGCTGCAACAGGTCAGAGGTCATTTTGGAGGTGGGAACGTAAAGGGCAAAATGGGGACCATGATTTTAAATTTTAACATAACTCATGAAATATACCAGAGGCTCCAATAAGCCATTATGGAGTAGGAGATATAAACTCTAAAGAGGGTAAGATGAATTTTGGGTAATGAGAAAACTATAAAATAGGAGGCTTTTCCCCAGACCCATACTACTTGCTATATTTTTGCTCCATATCTTCAGCTCTTTCTTCCCTAGAGAACCAATTCTTCTGGGAGCAAAGGGAGAGACCCTGGAGAGGCAAGAAGAGAAAAGGGCTGAGCACCAGAAACACCAGTTAGTCAGCTTCCATCCCTGGAAAGGTATTTATAGAAAATCGACTTGAGCTCCCCTACTGCACTCCCATTCTACTGGGACCGTGTCTTCTCTTGACCAGTACTGCAGAGGAAAGGTAAAGCCCAGGAGGAGTGGAGTCTGAAGACAGTCGCTCCTATTCAGCCCCAGCTGAGGGCCAGGCCAGCCCTCTGGGTGTCATCCCAGGATGCAGCTTCCATTGCAAGATGATGCTTTTCTTCTGACTGAAGCTCGCGCATCACACTGTGCAACCCATATGGCTTCTCACCAGTATGGAGCTTGTGGTGCCAAAGGACTTTGGAACCACTGCTTAAGTCCTCATAGCAACAACCCTAGCAGTAGAAGCGTTCGCCTGTGTGCTTCCTCTGGGGACCATGAGGTGCCATTGATGGTTGAAGTTTCTCCGGTGAACCCAGCATTTGTAAGGCCCTTCCCTGGTGTGGATGCAGTGATTGACCAGAGTGTGTCTGAGAGGAAAAGTACTTGTCCCACTGCACTCGTTGCACCGGTAGGGGCCACTCCCCATGTGTACCCTCAGGTGCGTGAGTACACACAGTGGGTGCAGCGGAACCGCCTGGCCGCTCATGGATGTGGACATGCTGGTGCCTGGACAGGTCAACATTGTGGCTGAAGCTACAGTTACACTACGGGTCCAGGAAGGGTCGCTCACGTGCGTGAGTTGGTGGTGCGTCAAGTCCTTATTCCAACTCTTAAGCTGATGGCACTGCGCGCATTGGAAGGGCTTCCCTGCATTGTGACATCACCGGTGGCAGTTGATGTTTGGGTGGCAGTTGAGGTTGGAGAGGTAGTTGAAGGTCTTGCCTCTCAGATGGCTCTGGTACGGTTTTAGCGGGTCTGGGGGGGGAAGGGATTGCCTGAGACAGTTGGTGGCCACACAAGGAATCAGTTCCTTACCCTCTGAGGCCTTTTAGCATGCCTTATCCGGATGCTTCTGGGAGGTCTCAAGCCCCATGGACATGGCTGTAGAAAGGTCCCTAGCCTCCCTTGGCAGGGTTCAGATTACAGTTATGTCATCTGCTGGGGGAAAGCAGATGCCAGAGTTAGAGAAGGGTGAGAAGGGCCTGGAGTGCATATCAAATTTGTGCCCTAATGTCTTGGCTACCATCAACCCATTAGTAAGTTATTCAGTATCTTTAGCCTTTTCCCTTATCTATTAAAAAAAAGAAAAAAGGACATACTAGGTCTGTTAGGATGACTAAGTAGCTGCTTAACAAATATTTGCTGAATGGAATGCCTGAAAAGTAGAAGGATACTTACATTCAAGATGTCTACAATTACTTCAAATTCAATGATCTGGCTTCTCACCAGAAACTCATACAATTCAAAAACAAAATAAATTGAGGTTATTTCCCCCTTGGATTCAGTAGGTTTAAGTGCCTTAGTAAATCTTTTTCATAATTATTTTCAGGGGTGGGGGTAACAAGGACTCCAGAATGGCTGAGTGAAACACTTAACAAATACTTCTACCAAAGCTGTAAAGATTTGTCAAGAACAACTATGCAAGGACCCTGGAAATTGTCCAGAGGCATCCCACAAATTAGGAAGCATTCATTCCAGAACATTTCTAGAACCTCAGCAAGAACAGTTAAATGCTCCAGAATTTTAACCTGAAGTTTCTCCCACTGTCCATCTATCCAACTCTCTGTCCCCAAAGTTCTGCCAGGAAAGGACAGGCCATGAAGATCAGCAATAAAAGGGATGACTTTAATTGGAACAGAAAGAAAATTCAAGCCCAAGGAATTGTCAAAAACAATAGCATCCCAGCAGTTCGGGAGGCTGAGACAGGAGGATTTCGAGTTCAAAGCCAGCTGCAGCAATTTAGTGAGACCTTAGTCAACTCAGTGAGATCTTGTCTGTAAGTAAAACACAAAATAAGGCTGGAGGTATGGTTTAGTGGTTGAGAGCCTCTGAGTTCAATCCCCAGTATCCCCTGCCCCCCCCCCAAAAAAAAACTATAGCTGTCTCTGTAGTGAATAATCAGGAAAGTCCTGCATGTCTGCTAGTCAGAAACCAAAACACTGAAGAGCAACAAACCTTCAGTCTAAGCAGATGTAATAAGAGGATGTAGAGAATAAGGTATCCATTGTAGGTCTGGATAAGATTCCATATATCCTTCATGATCTAAAAAGCTGTACTCCTGTGAAAGGCTATATACACTTCCCAGCTACTCAACTCAGGCTGAACATGAGTTCTAACACACACAGAAAGTAAGAGCCTAGACAAAATTGCAAATGATGGAACTTTGAAAGCATTCTCTATGTCACACCGATCCATCAATAAAGGGTAGAAGACTCACTATCTCAAGATGTTTAAGCACAGCCTCTAACTAATAAACTGTTTTGACCCATGAATAACCTCTAAGAAGGTTAAAAATGAAAACAAGAATTTAAAAATTCTGTGGCCAATACTGAAGGTTAAAGAGACCCCACAAAAGTTGTCCAGGTAGGTTTCTGAACAAATAAACAAGCAGCAGCACCAGCCATTGTTGGAGGGAATCAGAATTCAGATTTGCTACTTTATCTAAAATGTCTAGTAAATAACAAAAAATTATGAGAAAGGCAAACAAGTAAAAAAGTGTGACCCATATTAGGAAAATAACAATAGAAACTGCCTCTGAGGATGCCAAAATGATAGCTATAAAAGTCAAAGACCTCAAAAAATATAAATATATTTTAAAAAGTAAAAGTAGAAGAATTAAAATATGATGACAAAGACTTATCAGAAAATATAAACAAGGAAATATATCACCATAAAAGAAGCAAATGGAAATTCTGGAATTGAAAAGTATAGTGCAATGAAAAATTCACTAGAAGAGCCCTACAGCAAAGATAAAAGAAAGGAAAAGCATATCTTAAGACAGATCAATAGAAATTATCCAACTGGCACAGTAAGGAAATGAAAAATGAACAAGGCCTCAAAAATAAAGGTGGGACACCATCAAGCATACAACAAACATAACAGGAAGATTAGCAAAAGAAAAAGAGAAATATTTGAAGAATAATGACTACAAATGCAAATGTTTGATGAAAAAGAATGAATTTATGCACCCAAGAAGCTCAATGAACTCCACTAGGATAAGCACAAATGAAACCCAGATCTAGTGGTATGTACACCAGTAATCCCAGCAACTTGGAAGGCTGAAACAGGAGGACTGCAGTTCCAGATCTGCCTGAGCAATTCAGTGAAACCTTGTCTCAAAATAAAAAATAAAAAGCGTTTGGGGATGTAGCTCACTGGTAGAGCACCCTTTGGGTCCAATTTCCAGTACTGAAAACATAAAAAGTGAATTCATCAGGATTAAAAATTATAGACATATAAAACATATACAAACATAACTAGAGACTCCCAAAATACATGAAGAAAAACTTGATAAAATAGAGGGGAAACAATTCAACAACATTTGGCAAGTAAAAACATCCCCCTATCAATACCGATAAAACAGGGCTGGGGTTGTGGCTCAGGGGTAGAGTGTTTGCATGAGGCACTGGGATGATCCTCAGCACTACATAACATAAAGATATTGTGTCCACCTATAACTTAAAAAAATTTTTTTAAATACTGGATAAAACAATAAGATGAAAAAACAACAAGGATTTATAACAGCATTTGACCTCACTGACAAAAAACACTCCATAAAAGAGCAATATTTTTTTTCTCAAGGGCACTTAGAGCTATAACTAAAAATCTTTTACTAGAAAACATAAGATGAAAAATTTCAGGACTTAGTTTGGGCAAAGATTTCTCATATTTGACACTAAAAGCAAGAAATGAAAAAATGAATTGATAAGTTTGGTCTTCATTCAATTTAAAACCTTTCCCCAAAGCATTGAAAAATGACAAGGTAAGCTGCAGACTGGAGTAAATGTCTACAAATTATATGTTGGATAATTTTTATTCAAAATATGAAGAACCTCTTACAACTTACTAACAAATGACCCAATTATAAAATGGGCCAAAGATTTGAATAGACACTTCCTTAAAGAAAATATGCAAATGGCTAAAAAGCACACAGAAAAATGTTCAGCATCATTAGTCACCAGGAAAATGAAAACTAAAACTGCAATGAGAAATTAAAGATTTCTAAATAAAACTAAAGCCATCAAGCCACTTAACACGTGCTGGTAAGGATATAGAGAACTGGATCCTCACACATTACTGGCAAAAATATAAAATGATGCAGCTACTTTGGAAACAGTTTGGCAGTATCTTAAAAGGTATTACTCTACTTTTTAAGAAGTGCCAAGAAAAGACAAATTCATACAAACAGACAGTAAAAATAGTAACTGCCTGAGGCCTTGGGTAAAAACTGAAGAGTAAAAAAATGCAAATGATCAAAAGATCTTTTGAGCATGATGAAAACACTCTAATATTAGGTTGTTCTGATGATTTGCAACTCTTTTAAGTTTACTAAAAATCACTAAATTGTTTACTTGAAATGGGTGAGTTTCATGATATATAGGTTATATACTGCAACAAAATTATTTGTTATAGTTTAAATATGAGGTGTCCCCCAAAAGCTCCTGTTAACGCAGGAATAGTTGATGGTGAAATGATTCAATTATGAGAGCTCCTAGTTTGAATGAACCCACTGGGTGGTATCTGGAGCCAGGGTGTATATAGCTAGAGGAGGTGGGTCCCTGGAAGAGTGCTCTGGAGGGTAAATCTTCCCTATTGCACCCCCTCCTTGCCACACCCCCACACCCCCCCCCCCACGCACACACACACACAGCCTGCTTACACCACACCATGAGCTGAGCAGCTTTCCTCCTCTGGGCATATGCAGTCTCTCCTTGGGCTCAGAGCAGTGAGCTTCAAATAAACTTTCCTCCTCTAAGTTGTTCTTGTAGGTGTTTCGATCACATTAACAAAAAGCTAACTAAAACACTTTTAAAAAATCATTTCTAAGTTCCATTTCTCTTCTAACATTTCATGACTTCAGGCAGTAAAATGTATTTACACAAGTTGTCTAGTTGGTGTTTTTGGATGGGTGGATTGGCCTGGGATATGGAATGGTAAGGAGATGTCAGCTAATGATTCAGACAACCACATATAACCCAGGAATTGACGAATGTACACATAAACATTAAAAACTGATGCAATTTTTCCAGATCATCACAGTTAAAAGCAGTGATGAAGTATCTAAAGCCAGAACCTGATGCGGATTGTTTGCTCTCATACAAAGTAGGAGATAAATTCAATTCAAACTTGGAAGAAAGATTTTTCATGGCACACTCTTTCCTACAAGTTGCACCACAGTCAGCTGTAGCTCATGTTTAATAAGGGCAGAAGTAATACAGCTTCAAAGATGAAAGCTCAGCTTCTAGAGTCAGACTCTCAACTCTACCACTAAATAGTTCTGTGATCTCCAGAAAGAATTGTATCTCTTTTACACCTCCTTGTCCTACCTGAAAAATAGGATTAAGATGATACTATCTAACTCATAAACTTACAAAATAGTTCCAAATTTATGAATTAATATGCTTAAGAACAATTCTTCACAGATTGCAAATACTATACAATCTTGGCTGTTACTTTGATTCTGAACCATGTTGAGATATGACATGCTGATAAGATATGCTGAAAAAGGCCTTGGGCCAATTTGATGTTTCCTTTAAAAGCATGATGGGTTTTGAATTCCTCTAAACCTATGAGCTCTGGGAGTCCCAAACAAAAATGAGGCAGAAACATATAACTATACACAGTTATTCATATAACTATAACATACATAAATAATGACCAAATGAACAGATCTCTTTAGGAGGCAAGCAGGCAATGTCTGTGACTGTGAGTAGCTTTTGACTGTTTCAAAATAAGGTA